CTACCAGATTATTGTAATTCTGTGTAGAAAGTGGTGTTCGAATACCGACAGTCTATAATCATCCTATTTTATTAATAACCGAGTTTCTGCGACGTATAGCAGCCATGGTCGAAACGCTACTGCTTATACCCGACTCTTAATAATTGGTCGGATCTCCTGACGGCGACAAAAATGTCTCAAGTTACGAAATGCCAATGGAGCCTTCTGTATGCGTGTCGACACTTCAGCTGTGAGACGTTCATCAGGTGAGATAAAGCCGCAAAAATAGCAAAATTTGAGTGAGGTTGGAAGCTGCACAAACCCAGTCCTGTGACAACATTTTTCAGTTTGTAGTTGCAAAATGCATGCCAAACACAGCTGTACTAGCATTCAAATGAGCCAGAAAAGTTTGCAACTTAGCAGGATCTTCACTTAGCAGTACAATAAAGTCAGGATACTTCAGAGCAGAGAGTCTACCATCCGGGAGCAAAATGATGCCTTTATCCTCGCTCGAAGACAGGGTTGTTTCCAGGATGAAAATCAATGACGAAGTTAAATTAAAAATGAAGGACGAGAAATCGTGATGAAAAGCTCTTTGTGATGAACTTGGGCGAAAAAGCCGTCAACTCGAACTCGGCTATGGTTATTAACATAAAGGGACGGTATTAGTGAAATAAACACTTAGGACAGAACACCCTACAGGGAACTGCTGCTCCAGAGTATACAACAGTTGAAAAAGTCAAAAGCCGCTTTCAGATTGAGAAAAACAAAAATGATAAGTCTACGAAAAGAATGTCACTGTTCCAGAATTTGACGACGTGAAAATATGTTCTATACAACCTCGATCAGGTCTAAAACCAGCCTGGATCTGATGTGTGCAACCTTCAGGTGCGCACTTGAGCATTGAACTCTCCGGTGACTACTACGACATACATTGATCGAACAATTTAGAACAGTTGAGAAAGATCCTTGTAGAATTCATCTTCGATTTCAGCTGTACTGCAATGGGTTGGTGGTGCATGCACGGAAACGAAGGACAAGCACCGACGCTTCTTTCTGTAACCGTTCATTCGTACTGCACCGTCCAGACGTAAAGCGCACAATCTGCTACTGACTGGAATTCAGTCAAGAAGCGAGGATTCAACCTTGATACCACCGTAATCCCGACACCAGAAACACTGTGAGCGTCAGATTGCGAATCGCCTGACATATATTGAGAATAAAAGGTGAGAGTGAGGTATGATCAGGAGGACGAAGAATGATAATTGAAGTGGGGTATTGCATGAGTGCTTCGGAGACACAACATACGTTTAAATTGGGATTTTCAAAAGTGCTAGTTAAAAGAGCTTCTTGGTCCATCTGACAGTGTGTGCAGACATTGAATGTGGCTAATTGAAAAGGAGATTTTCTCTCATCAGTTATTTAGCCTCTCATTGACTGAACTTATCGGTTGAACGCCGAGTGCTACTTCATGGATGGTATAAACAGGAGACACCTCGACTAATTTGGGAGGGGAAGAACTCAACAGATGAGAAAAAGGTTTTTCAAAAATGAGTGCCTAGGACACGACAGACTTCGCAGTACCCCACACGGATGAAGGGGTTTTTATTTGTGAACCTTGACCAGGGCCCATGAATCAAAAGTTTGACTCAAAAAGCAGTGGAGCGTAGATCCAAAGCGGGAGCGTGACAGGAACATTCGTATGGGAGCTTCCAAAGACCTCTTACGCCAGGCATTCGGGTTTCCGTTGAAAATATTGTTCACTGGTCCGTTGATCAACGGTCCGCTGTCCAGGCTCGGTTCCTAGCCTCATGGACCCCATAAGACAGGCGGAACGCGGACGGGACAACTTATTGGCTAAGGCCAATCTAGCTTGGGTGAGCGATGGATGAAGCGTGTGAAGTGTGAAGACTTATCTCGCCGTTGGAAGGGATCACAGGCAATCCGCTCCTGTGTCTATGCAGTGGGATTTTACTGCTACATTGCTCTTCTCCGTGTTTATCTGCTGGAGTGACCTCTCCAAGGTCGAGAGTGAGTAATCAAAGAAAGTCAGGAGACGTTGAACCAGCCAGGCTAGTGAGACTGAACCTTGTCTGTCCTTTATCCATTGATCTTTCAGGTATGTTTGGATCTGCAACTGAGGAAAGCCATCCTCTCAGGGTCATGCGAGCATGTGAGCATCACACCAAGTCAAGATCCAGTTACCCCGTGATAGCGTTCCGGGTATCGGTCATCCATTTCGTAACCTAGCATCTCCTGAACTGAAGGTGAGTGGGTTTATTCCTGTCAGCCGCATAAAAACAACGCACTGTCTGAGTGGTAATGAACAAGCGTTTCCAATCACTGCCACTGACCCGTTTTGGATTCTAGTGCCCGATATTCGATTTGTCGCTTCACTGTCAAGCTTTTCAGTACCATACCTAGCGACTTGGGACATTGAGTAGTTCACTTCTCGAAATTTGAGAGCTCATTCCGCTTATTCCTCGTGACCATGGGAATTACCCATTCGACTGTTCACTGCATTAGGGTGTTTATTAGTAAATATTTCCAAAAAGAACGGAAAAATCTGAAAATTACCGATGAGGACATTTTGATGATTGAGTGAAATAAGAGTGATGAAATCAAGCACTCTTGTCCAACACTTCCACTGGTACTGATTGAATAACTTTTCTTCTACGTACCTGGGGTGAGACACAAAACACAAACAAGACTTCAAACAGCTTTGGAAAAATAATTAAAACCACAAACGTTCACATATCATGTTTATCAAAAAGAAAGCCATGGAGTGCAGTGTCATCAGACAACTGAGCCACTTCTTACCATTCACGTGGCCCAGAATGTAATGGCTAGATTCTGTTCGCAGTACGCGTCATTATCAATCCGTGCTTATCGAAATCCCCGAGATATCTAAAAGTCAAAAACCATCAGCAAACCTACCGAAGTGTAGGATTAATTCGGAACCGAAACGCTAGAGTTGTATCCTCAAGCAGAAAATGATTGCAAATCCAACAAACCGATCAATACAGTGACCGGTTCACAGTCAGTGGACGTATCTCATCATTCGAATAATTATACAAAACCCGCTATTGTAATCAATTGTTTGTGTGGATGATTTTCCAGATTTAGTTGCACCAGGCTGTATTTAGTGAAACCCAAAAATAAAATACGGTAAAAATAAGCCGCGAGAACGATCAAATACGCTTCGGCGGAACCTGAGTTTTAAGTACGAACGGAAGCGGGAGAAAATTTGTGAGGGAATCTTCAATTCACTTTACTCTGTTTCTAAAGAAAAAGCTAGCTTCAGTGTTCATCAGGGACGGTAAAGAGACGTCATATGATCAGGCAGGTTTCATCAGATGTGTGTAATCAAAGCAAGTGAAACCCCAGCAAACATATGGCAGGAAACGTATTATCATTTTCGACTCAGTTATTCCAAAATTTTGCAAATTGCTTTCAAAATTTGTAATAAAGCTTGACTGGAATTCCCAAATACGAAATTTATTCAACTAGTCTGGCAGCTTCATGAAAAGGTGGAAAAGAAAATTATTGCAAGCTAGTCATTCACAAATAGGCCGAATATGTGTTTTATTGTCCTGTCTGTTTCAAAGTGCCCCCGCATCTTTTTCACATAGATCGTATGGGATTCTGATAAACATCTCGGTCGAATGTGCTCTATTCTCTAGGCAGAGTTGCTTCTAGTTCCTGCCTAGCACTAGCACACCTGACGTTTTTGATGTAACTGTTCGAGTATGCGTAGCACATATATTTTGTCTGGATTTCAGACTTGGGTTGAATGCAGACCAGTAAATAATTTTACACCACGAAGGAGCAATCTGGATTCGAATAAACACGAGTTGTGAAACACTGCATTACCTTACTGGAAAAACGCTTCTATGTGACCAACTGACGTGTTTGCTATGAGAATAAATCGCTTCAGTGAACGAATATATGCGATTCGAAATTGTGGAGTAACTTCCGTTGTTCATTGAATGAGCGATCTCAAAGCATCCCTAAAGTTCTGATTCTCAGCCGCTTGTTGAAATACTGTCATGTTTAATATTTCAGTAATTGGACTAATCTAAGTGGAACATTTTTCATCGCTTAGGGACAAAATATTCCATTTTTTGCATTCGACATGTATTCCTACACAAGAAATGCTACAGTCAGGCATCATATTATTTTTGTTGTATTTGATCAAGGAAACATTCTTAATAGTTCTTGCATAGCTCGAACGGAAACATTTCACGCAATTTCCGCCTACCTTGCAGATGGACAACTTGAGCTGTTCGATGGACAGGTCAATACATTGTATATTCGGCCCATTTGAATGACCAGCTTGCAATAATTTTTTCGCTGCGGTATTTTGATTTTTGTTTGACATATTTTCATGAAACGGTAATACTATTTGATGAATTTTCGTATTTTGGAACTCTAGTCAAGCTTTATCACAAATTTTGAAATATATATCGATAGTACATTGGGTTGTGGAAATATGGTGAGTAAATAGGGTGAGAACGCAGTTGTTCTCTTTTTTCATATACTGAACTATATATACTTGTGACTGGTCACACTGATATGAGATTGTTGTTTATCATTGAACACCTGTTGATCCGTCTTAGTTCAGGAGCATGAGAAAATGAAGTGTGATAGACGGAGTTTTGTTCATCATCATCATCAACATCATCATCATTATCATCCTCATCATCATCATGCTCTTTGTGAGCCAAAGGGCACGGAGTAGACGTTATGCAAGTAGAACGAAAGTGGAACTCAAAATTATCTAGTACATCCTTGTCATTGGTAGATAGTAATTCATTCGTTTTTTTCCTGTCACAAGCGAAATCAAATGAAATGTAGAGAGTGAAAATCAGGTCACCTATCATCAGACAGATACACCAATCACACGATACAGAAATGTTCACTCCCCAATTTGCTCGGTGAAGGTCAGTCTCGTTAGTCCTCGTTTAATTATGCAGTTACAACGTGCAATACAGATGACAACATCAGTTTGTCAGACCACGTCAAATCACATCACACCACACCTCACCAGCCCGTGCTGTGCGCTCTCTCTCACGTACTTTCACATCGAGTACGCAATCACACGCACACTATGAGGTGAGTAGAGGATTGGAGAGTGGTATCACAATGCGAATCGAATGCGCGACAACTCAACACAACCCCTTTGGGCCTGAACGTGAAATGGAAAGCTTGATTAGGTGTTATGCCTTGACTACTACGGTAGAGATTATTTTGACAATTGCAGTCTCGTTTCAAACCCTTTGTGGTGCATATGAGTTGGGATAAATTATACAAAAAGCAGGGAACAAACGAAGGAGTGATTGAAATACCGCACATTTGGTCATGTCTTCCGTTGTGAGGATAATGAAACTTCGCATATGGTTCCATCTTTCAATTGCTTCCTATGGTCAGGGGTGGAAGAGGGAGGACGGCGAGAAATAGATTTTACCGTCTCGGAAAACATCTGAAAAGCCGATTGTGACGTGTGGAGACGATGTCTGTTGGGAAGTCCTACTCATTGCCTTCTCGAGACGACGATAATTTCATTAAAATAATGGAGTGAAAAATCACTCTTCAGGGGGGGGGTCTAACGAGGAGAGAAGACCACTAGGTGCTAGTTCCTGTAGGAGAAATAGCGAACATAAATTCAAAACCACCAATGATGAAGTGAATGAAATGGTCGCATAAGTGATGCACAACCAGTCACCTGTTCGCTCGGTTGATAGGGTTTACTCAACACTTAGACATGAGAGCGGAATCTGAGAATCCCTTTATTCGAAAAACCTTCAATGGACTGCGGATTTAAAGCATCACCCATTGATATTTCGGTTGGGTTATTTGGTCAGCCAATCGAAATGGGGTTCCTAAATCAGTAGACTGACTAGTAAAAGAGTTAATAGCGCTAACACTTTACTAG